GTGAATTCATAATGCCCCCTTTCGAATGTGAACGCTGTTTTGTGTTGGTCTTCCGGGTGCATCCGTATTTGGTGATATCCCGCCTTAAGGTCCAACGTGCTAAAGACCACGGCCCCACTCAACCTATCGAGTATATCTTCGAATCTGGGGATCGGGTACTTCTCGTCTACCGTGTTATCGTTCAATTTACGATAGTCTACTACCACCCTGTATTTTTCCTTATTATCCCCCGGTGCTGCCTTCTTCTTCACCGCCCACAGGGGACTATTGAATGGTGAGGTGCTATCAACTATGATCCCTTGTTCTTTTAGACTATCTAGCTCCTCTCTAATATGCTGCCTCAACGCCTGCGGGTATCTTCTCTCTTTCACGTAAGTTACCCTATCCTGCTTCAGTGGGATTTCATGCACCGTCCTCCCGGTTACCCCTAATACCTCACCTTCCCTGAAGAAAATGTCCCTAAACTCCTCCTGTAGCAACTTCCTCCAGTCCTCCACTCTGTTCACCGCCCCTATCCGCACCCTTCTTTCTCTCGCGACCCCTATACATCCGAACTTCCTCTTTCCCAACCTAACACTCCAGGCTCCTCTACGATTCCTAATGCTCGCCCCTACCTGCCCTAACAAATCGCACCCTACTATGACCTGGTATTCCCGAGTCATGTTTTTTACTACGTGTACCTTCAGTTCGCCCTCTTTTCCTGCCCACCGATCAAGTCTTATTGTCGCTTCTCCCTCTACGCTACAGGGGCCACCCAGAGTGATTAGCTGGCAATCGCATTTTTGGATCCGGAGTGCCCTCTCACTCCCGCACACTTTCCCTAACGCCCCTCTGGTCATAATAGTGCTCGAGCTCCCGGTATCCACGAGGCACTTTACTCCCCCGTCTACCTCGATAATTGGCAACCAGCATGGCTTACCTCGGATGTTGTTGCATGTTGCTGTGCGGTCGCCTCTCTGCTGCCACACTCCTCAGATGCCGCCCAGCTTCCTCCTCCCCGCCGCCGTTCGTCGCTGCTCGGTCCGTTGGCTGCTCCTGCCTCCTTCGCCTCCACTGCTACCTGGTTCGTCCGTCTCTGTCCCCGAAGTTCCCGACTCCTCGGTTGCCTCTCCCGAAGATCCGTCCTTCCGCTGCATCCTAGCCCGTCTTGTCAGCTTCTGCGTGTTTACTTCCATGGGCTCGTCTTGAGTTCTTTCTCTCCTCCGGAATATGTACGGGCACTGCCTAGCAATATGCCCTTCGGTACCGCACTCGAAACATCTAGTGCGCGGACATTGTGCAACTAAATGTCCTGGCTTTCCGCACCCATGACATTTCCTGTCTTCCCTGCGGGGTCCATTCCTCGGCCTCGCCTGTCCGGATCTTTTTTCACCCATCCTGACCTTTTCTCCGCTCGGCTGTACCGTTTCTCTCCTCTTCCAACCCATCGGGGCTGTCCGGGGTCGTCTGTCATTCACCCGGATCCACCCTGGTTCTTCCACGTCCATCCGAGTCTCTTCTTCCCTTGCGCTTAGGTCGATCATTTCCTGGGCACACTCGAGGAATGATCTCTCCCTGGGCAATCCGTCTCTCCTTCCCGTTTCCTTCGCCAACTGGACCTTGAGTATCGTCGAGAGGAACTCCATCCTGGCTTCCACCTCTCCCACACTCATTGTTTCGCGCATTTTCTCCGTTATGCGGTTGTACTTTGCCACTAGTACCCCCGCATACTGGCCCCTCGTCTGACGTTGGGACCGGCGCTCCCTAAACATTTGGAAGATGTCTTCCTCCGGCGTCCATCTGCCTCCTCCGAAGGCCTTCTTCAGTCGCTCCTTAATCACCGGCCATGGTGTCTCCTCGTCCGCCTGAATTTGGTTCAGGATGCTCCTCCTTACTCGGCACACCAGAGCCGCTTTCAACGCTTCCGCGTCCCCTAGGTTTACCAGGTCCTCCGCCACCTTTACCTCTATTCTAGACATGAGGCGGTCTCCGCCTTTCAGGAAATGGTTGAGCTCACCTACCTCGCCACCGAAGCGTTCCAGGTCCGCAATGGCTCTTCGTAGGTCCTGCGTGGTCGCCGCTCTTATTTTCATCCATTCCAGCGCGTTAGCGTGCGCTTCTGCCAATGTGTCCCTCGGTAAGGGAGGGATCTCCTGGATCTGCGGAATCTGCGGTACCTGAGGTATTTGAGGTATCTGAGGAACCTGAGGGGCCTGCGCGATCTGAGGTATCTGCGGAATTTCTTGAGGTTGAGGGATTTCCGGGGCGCTCAACACTCCCGGCCTGATTAAGCCCTCTGTTGGCATTTCACTCTTTCCTTATGACTAGGAGAAGAAAAAAAAACCAAGAGAAAAAAAATGACTTTAAAAAAAAATTACTTCTCTGTTCTCCTGTCGTAGTCCCGGGTTTCGGCACCAGTTAAGCGTCGGCGGACTCTAACAATAAAAAAAAAGAAAGGAAAGGGCTTGAAATGCAACACTCACGGTTTCAGAAAAGATACTGATTTATTCCTTTAGTAATCCTCCTTATATACATTTCATATGTTTATTTACATTCAGGACGGTATTAAGGCTGATATCGCCGGTCTCCGGTCTTTATCTTATAAACGCCCCCTCAGCTAAACTCAGCAAATTTCTTTTAATCTCTCTCCAAAAACTTAGCCACAATAATCCTTATGACATTAATAATTCATTCTACCTGAAAGAAGAGTTGTCTTCTCTCCATATTCCTGACAATTTTATCCTTGTTTCCATAGACGCCGAAAGCTTATTTACCAACATCCCAATAGACAAAGCCCTCCACATGGTACAGAAAAACTGGACAACCATCGAACCTCACACAACCCTCAACCTCTCCTCATACCTTGAATCCCTTGAGCTTTGTTGCAGATACGGATACCTCACCTTCCAAGGAAAATTCTTTAATCAGATTTCTAGGCCTAGCCATGGGAAATTCTTTAGTACCGGATATTTCCAACATTGTTCTTAATGACCTTCTAGACTCTGTTATCCCTTCTTTCATCAAGACTTCATTTTCATAAAAAAATATGTCGATGACCTCCCCCTTGTTCTTAACCCTGACAGCATTCCTCAAATTCTTTCATCATTCAACTCTTACCACCCCGTCTTCGTTACACTATAGAGAAAGAAGTTAACAATTCACTCCCCTTCTTATACCTCCTAATAATAAAAAACACTGACGGCTACGTTTCTACTGACTGGTATACTAAACCCAGGTACTCAGGCAGAATACTTAACTTTTATTCTCAACACCCATATCACCAAAAAATCAATACGGCCAAAAACCTTATTCACCGATCTCTTTCTTTGTTTGATCCACAATATCGCCAAGCCAACATTCAGCGTGTCCTTTCAGCGTGACATTCAGTACTCCTTTCCAATAATTTCCCTCTCAATACTATACTTAAACTTTTAAACTGCTATACAACCAAAAAGAGTACAACCTCCCCTGCTCTCAACTCTCCACATCACCTACCACTCCTTTCATATACAAATCTCTCTCCTATATTCCTTTTCTCTCAGATAATATACAAAAATTCCTTAAATCGACTATAACCAACTTACATCTTGGCCTTAAGTCCCATAACAAACTTTCTTTCCTTTTCACCAACTTCAAGGATCCCATACTTTCCTTTTCTTTTCTTTCTCCACATTTCTTTATGTCCATTATTCATATTACACCCTTTTTCCTTTTCTTCCAAGCTCTCCTGTAGATCTGTAGGAGTATATTCACAATTGCATATATTATATATTACACTACAACAATTGTTACCATCTATTTACTTCAGTTTAGGATCTTGTTACTTATCTTACTCTTTTTATATTTTAATGCACTTACTCGTTTTAATTTTAATAAGCTTATTCACATAGTTTATAATTTTTTGTCTCAATATTATGCACCTTACACAATTCTCTATATCTTTTTTTATCTTGTCCGTTCTAGCCCTGAAGAAGACTTGCAAAGTCGGGTCGAAACGTTGGTTTTAATAAAATAGTTTTGCCACTATTTAGTCTATTTATGACCGCCACCCCAGACCATCTCCTTTCTTAATAACGCAACGCTAAAACATTAAATACTCAAGTGTATTTCTTTAGTTTGTGAAATGCTTAAACGCACCTCATACGGGCACTAACTATGGTTTCTTAAAAATACAAAATACACAAGCATAGGGAAACAAACCATATTTGTTTGCCCACTGTTTGAAAATATCTAAATGCACCTTTAAACAAGTATGTTTCCTATAAAAATTGCAGTAAATTCTGTGTTCTTTAATATTTAATTTAAAACTTTGAGCTACGTCACCTGTAAAAACAGATAATAAGTTAAAAACTAAAAATTATGCACGTTTGTTTGCGAATTTCCAAAACTTTCCCATTTCGATAGCTAATTGTTTGCTTCCTGTTGTGTTTAGAAAAAGATGTTTTGCACACAAATTTTGGATAATTTTAATTTGCTTAAGATTGAATAAAATCATTTTTTATCTATGTCGCTTTAAAAAGGATACATTTAGCGTAAACAAAAAAAAGTTTGAAATTTCAATAGGTTTTGAGCACTGCAGTGAAACCACACACCGCTTTCAAGAGAAGAAACTTGGTTTTTTTTTTTATATACTACAAAAAAAAACCTGACCAGTACCAAGTTGTAGTGGTACAGGTTTTTGTTTTCCGCTTAATTGATTATTTAATCAAGATTACTCACTTTTTGGAGGCTGGGTGTGCCCCAGGAGTGTTTCCTGATCCCAGGATCGATGACGGCTAATTAAAATTACTAGTCATCGACTGGATTCGAACCTGGGACCTTGAGCTCTGGTACCTTGAAGTCAGTATTACTCACCGAGCCATCCTGCTCCTCTATTCACTAAAACTTAAAAATATAACTAAGAAATTTGAATTACTGGACCTTTTGCAAGTTGGATCCCTTTTTGTGCTAATTGGCTACTATGGAATTACTGTTGTTATCGCATATTTATTTGAACAGATCAGTTAGTGAACGAGAATGTAATAAGGTTCTGGATGTCTGATTTTTTTTTTGTTTTGTTTATTATATTTAAAATTTATAATGAAAATTAAGTGAAAATAAATGATTAATTTTACTTTAACTCTTAAAGCTTATTGTATTTCGTCTGTAAGCTATGGCAGCCAATGTTAGGAAACAGTCCAATGATGATAATTTTGATTTCTTATTTAAAATTGTTCTGATTGGTGATTGTGGTGCTGGAAAAACCTCTGTTGTCCAGAGATTTAAAACTGGTAACTTTGTAGAAAGGCATGGAAATACAATTGGAGTTGATTTTTCAATGAAATCTGTTACAATAGATGATAAGAAAGTCAAGGTATGTTAATTGCTTATATGGATAATGTTTACTATATGTATGTTTAATTTTTTATTCAGCTTCACTAAAAAGAAACTTAATTTAAAAATTAAACACATTAAGTTAAATGTCCCCCTATCAATTTTTCACATTGTGCTGAAATTATCAAAAAAACATATTATTGCTAAGCACTCGATTAATTTATTTAAAACCGATTTTCTGCAGTACATGTATTTGTTAAGAAACCGCATTTTAAGGTAGTTCATGGGTCAATTTCTTCATGGTCATCATTTTCTTTTAATATATATTGATTATATTGACATGTTATGGTACGACAATATTTTTCCTGAATTTGATCATTTTATATTGACTATACTTGACAGTATGCAAGTAGTTTTTGTTTTATTTTGATATTCAGTGTTTCTTTCATTTCTTTTTGGTTTTGTTCTTTTGATTTTTAAACATAAACATAAAGTTACATGTACTTTTTTTGGATTAGAAATACTAGTGATAAATATCATTGATTTTAAATTATGAACTCCTTAATCGTTATATAATTCCTTGTAAAAAAAATTCTTATTTGTCAGAAACCAAATATTGAGATTTCTATTTGAATTATTTTTTCACCTATGTTTTTCAACAAATAAATTCCAAAATTGAAGTGTTATTATTTTCTGGTCGAATTGTGATCACTGGGTGATCCCAGTTAGTATTAATACGCAAACAAATTTCAACTGTCTTAAAAATCTCTGTCTTAGCTTATGAAAGCAGAACATTAAAGATATGTTAAAATTTAAAATATTGGTTTTAGTTATTTTTTTCTTGTTTATAGGATGTATGGTACTAGTTCACGATAGTTTCGCACGGATTAGGTATGGTTCACAATCATTCCAGTCACACTTGTTCATGAAATGCCAAAAACAGTTGAATGTGTTGCCGGATATTGTGATGTTAGCTCTTGTCCCAACTACTCATTCCCTTTCGATACATTTTTGAATTCCTCTCATAGAACTCCCTTATTAACAATTTATGAACATTATTTAACCGTTTGGCTGCGGAAGGGATACCTATCTTCCCGTTAGGAGTTGGGTCTTCGGCGTGGATAGGATACCTGCCTTCCCGCCTTGGCTATCTCCACTTAAAGAGGCATGGACAAGCCCTGCTTCCACTATTCAATTTACGGCTTGGTCGGTGCATTCATTAGTCCCCTGTAGTTTACTCAGTTAGGTCATTCTGGATTCTGACCATTTGGAAGCTATCAGTTACAGATTTATTCTGAATCCAAGGTATGTTTTTTCTCTGTTATTTGTGTCATATACATGATGTTATTTATATTCTATTTAAATGTTTTATACATCAAATAAATGTTAATAAGTTAATTTTTTCTGAAATACAAAATAGCGGCCAGATGAAGATAGATAGTCACCCTGTATATGTAGAATACTTACATATAGAAAGAGCCTATAGATATAGTATGCTATCAACTCTTTAAATTAAGTCGAAAACTTGAATTTACGATTCAAAAAGTTCACGGTTTTTCGTTTATATCAGTGAAACAATGTGTTCTAGCGATAATAATGTCATTTGTAAAATTAGAGCTGACAAAATTTGCAACAGAAGTCATTATATTTATTTCGTCACTATCTTATATAGTTTCCGAGATATCTGTCCCTGTAATTCACTAATATAAAAAAAAAAATACTGTTTTTATCTTGCATTTTTATCATTATTTGACTCATTAACTCTTTAACTTTTCATTTTAAGAAAAAGTAATATGGTAGAAAGTCGTTCAACATTAAATTTTCTTTAAGAATATATATTGCTTTACTATCTTCAACTATTTAAAAGCTAGAGCAATTATAATTTCATGTTTTAACTCTGATACTATGCAGAATAACTTACTTTTCGTTATTATACAGCTCTTAATCTTTATATAAACCAATATACATAGGTATACATTGGCTTATATAATATAAATATATGTGTATTGCCTTATATTATAGTTAATAGCTGTAAGATATGAAAATTTCTAAAAGTAAGTTTTTCTGTTTCTGTCTTTCTGTTTAAAGTAAGTTGTTCTTCATATTGGAGTTTAAATATGAAATTATAATTGCTCTAGCTTTTGAATGGTTGAAGATAGTAAAGTAATATATATTGTTAAAGAAAATGTAATGTTAAAAACTTCTTCCCGATGACGTTTTAGTAAAATGAAACAAATAAGAGTTAGCGAGTCAAAAATGCGATGAAATAACAATTTTTTCAAAGTTAGTGAATTAGGAGGACGGATGTCTTGGAAACTATACAAGATAGCGAAAAAATAGATATAATGATTTCTGTTCCAAATTTTGTCAGGACATTATTATCGCTAGAATACATAGTTTCACTGATATAAATGAAAAAAGTCGTAAATTGTAAGTTAAAATCCACGGATATGGGGTAACTGACTATTATTTCATGGCTTACAGTAAATATTGTAAATTTAAAGGGTTGGTAGCTTTCTATATCCATAGGCCCTCTCTCTATATAACTTTTGTACCTAAATAGGGTGTCTATCTACCTGGACGTCATTTTGTATTCCAGCGGCTAGCCGACGTGCATTTTTCTAATCAGTCCTGTAGACATGGTCAATTTATAGAAACAAACTTTAGTATGAAATTGTCCTTTTTTGCCATGGGCTCACGGACTATTATAACTATTTCTAATATAAATATAAAAAAATGTTATATACAAAGAAATATATAATTTGTATCCTGCTGTTGGTGTTCTTTTTTTAGAAATAATATAATTTACTTTATTGAATATTTAATAGTTGACCGTTGCATTATAAAAGAAGGAGATGGTCCAGTGTGGCGGTCATAAATAGGCTAAATATTGGCAAAACTATTTAGCCTATTTATGACTGCCACCCCGGACCATCTCCTTCCTTTAAATTTACTTTATTGTTGGCAATAAAAACTTCCAAGTTTAAAACAAATGGTTTATTTGTTATAATCATTTTATGTTGACGTTTCGGAAAATTATTCCCATCTCCATAACTTTATTCCCATCTTTTATAGCAATAAATGGATTAAAATTGAAAAGATTTACGATAAAAATGAATGTATCTTTCAAACTTGTCAGTGTGGTGTTATATAATTTGCTAAAATTACCTGAAACTTTTTGTGCTTCTTAGTCATAATTTAAAGTTTTTGGGTTATATATAATAATAGAATAATATCTGGAGCATCACATCGATGGGACTAATAATCGGATGTCTGCTAGCTACTTGGGTAGGGATGTTATTGTACTTTATCTGATTATTTACTGTTTTTGAATTGATATTTGTATGACTGTTGGTTACATGTCAACATTCTATTTTTACTATATTTTAATTTTGTTTAAAATGTCTGCATAATGTGTTCCTAAATGATTAGTATCTGTTGTGTAATTTACTGTTATTCTATTGTTTTTTGTGTTGTGGATGGCTTCGAGTAATTTTTTGATTCTGTTCCTATTATTTGTAGTTCATTAAAATTGAAATTGTGTTGTAGTTTTATACTATGGTATGCTAATGCTGTGAAGTTTATGTTTTTTGTGTTTTTGCTATTGGAAATGTGCTGTGAAATTCTGGTTTTTAGTTGTTTTGATATTTCGCCAATGTAAACTTTAGGGCAATTTTGACATTTCAATTTATAAATTTCATTTTTCTTATCTATTGAATGTGTTTTGTCTTTTGTGTTGGTAATTTATTTGCTAAGTTTTTTGTTATTGTACTGCCCAAGTTTGATTTCTGGTAATTCATAATTTTTTTTAACACGTCCTTAATTTTGTCTATAAGTTCAGGTATGTATGTCGTTTTGTAGCAGCTGTTAGTGTTCATTTTGTTTGTTTGTGAAATGTTGTCTTGATTGTTCTCGTGTGTTATATTTGTTTTTACAAAGAATTATGTAATGTGTTGGTTTCTTTATTGTACTGTTTCTTTTGGTGTTTTTTTTTTTTTTTGCTTTTATGATCATTTCAGTCTGTGGATCAGCTGATGTGCAATGTTTTGGACAGTGAAATTATTTTATTGATATTTTTTTGTTAATACAATCAAAATAATGTACTAAAAACACTATAACTATGCTATTTATGAATACTAAATGACATGGCAGAGAACTCTAGCCGAGTACCGTTTTTCCACCGATTAATTGTATTTTGTATGTAACCGCTTCAAATATTTTAAAAAGTAATCAGTGTTTTATAAAGAGAAATATTTAAAACATAGTTAAGGCCATAAAGAACAGAAGATTGGGCTGGCTAGGACATGTCGAAAGGATGCCTATGTCGAGATTCCCTTGGCAAATGCTGTACGGTCATCTTGGCTCACGAAGGAGAAGTAAGCCTCGTAAACGATGGCTGGACGACGTGGAAGAGGATCTCCGCCACCTGAACATCTGGCGATGGCCATCTAAAGCGATGTATTAAGTAGAATGCAACAGAATATTGGAGGAGGCTTTGTTCTCAATGTACCCTAACGCTATGCTGTAAAAATGATAAGTGTTTTAGAAAGAGCCAATAAAAAAAATCTTTATTCTGCAGATGTTTTATTTCTGGACGTTTTTCGTTATTGTTGGCAATTTATTTACTAGCGATTCCTATTGTAAAATAATTTTTCACGGTAAGTGTGTCAACCTTACTGATAAAGACATCGGAACCCTAAAAATAATTAAAAAAGCATGCTTTTGCACTAATTGCGACCAGACCAAACAACAGAACACCAAGCCGTCTGCCTTAGAAATACTGCCGGCAGTAAAACGCTTAGACGCTACCGCGAATGAGGATATAAAAAAATATAAAAACAACCGTCGATAAACACGGGGACCTTAGTTTTCTATTTAACGAAAAACTGACGAAGATTGAGAAACATCTCGAACGTCAAGCTAAAAATTTTGAAGAGATACTTTTAGAAAATAATGCACTAAAATCCGGAGTGGGCGAATTACAAGTTCGCTTGAATAACGCGGAACAAGGACTATTATATAGATCACTGGAGATCCGCG